GATATGGCACCAAAGTAGCTATTGTGATCTTAGGCTGTATAAAAAAGGCAATGAAAAAGTGTTTAGAATGATAGAGTTTCCTCTGCATTATTGCCCTGGTCACGCCATATTTGAAATACTATAATCAAGAAACATATCTTAAGATGAACACTGAAAAACTAGAAATCTTTGTGACAACAGCAATTAGGTAGCAAGAGGACTGATCACACTATATACAATCTACCAAGGAATTGTTAATGTTAAGCCTGCAGAAGAGGGGAATACTACAAGGGGAAGTATGACAGTTGTCTTCAATTATTTAAAGAACTACCATGTGAAAGAAGAATTCGCACTCTTCTACTTGGCCACAAAAGCAGGAACAACAGACCACAAAGGCAGCATGGTAGAGTTCACAGAAAGCTGGCCTGCAAGTCACAAGGTCCTAGGCCAAAGTTCCAGCTCCAACACATATTGGCTGTGTGAACCTGAGCAGGTCACTTAACCTCTCAGTGCTCAAGAAAAAGCTAAGTCTATAAAAGCTGTAGAGAAGATACTGGCCTATACTAGTAGAGGGAGCTTCCTTGCCTGGGAGTTCTCCATGCCAATGAAATTACAGGTCTAGCCCCTATCATTATGATATAGAAGAGGGATCAGACTTGTTCCACTTGGTCCCAGAGGGTAGAATTTGGAGCAACAGGTAAGTTACACAGGTGACAGATTTTGGCTTAATGCAAGGAAAAATTTCTCAGTAATTAGGGCTAACCAAAAGTGAGAGACGCTACCTTCAGACATACGGAGTTCCTTACAGGTCTCCACTGACTGACAGATATATCCACATACAAAGGTGAGATGAGCACTTGTAAAGACTGTATAAAGGGAAATCTTACTCAGGTATGGATTAGTCTACATGTCTTCTGTGGTTCTGCTCAACTCAGAAATTCTGTGATTTAAGCACTAAAGATTCTCATTTCCTACTTAGATCATTAGCCTTACAATCAAACCATACATTAAAGTTTGACTGGTGAAGTAAAAATTGAAGTTGCCAAAGATAAACATTTTTTTCAAAAGCAAAATGGTGTTATTATTAAAGCTTAAGGGGCATTATTTTTTTTTCAATACTTCCAAAAATTTGTGATTTTACCCACTGCTGTAAACTGCAAAATCTCTATACCTTGAGATCCTATGACTTAAACTTTTCATCACCTGGTGGTCAATCTTCTGCAAAAAGTTTCACAAAATTAGACTGGTCTTTGGATGTCAGGCAAATATTTCACTAGTGTCTTTATGCTAAGCCTTTTTAGGTAAGACTTTCCAGAATTTGTCTTCTTCTCCCATCGCTTCAGAGGATCAAAGGTTGCCTCCATTCACAGAAGAGGAATCAGCACCGAACTTGAAGAGAAGTTCAATCAGCTATTAAATTTGTTTATCTTGATAGTCTGTTCACTGCACGTATATGAAATCTAGTTATCAAAAAGCCAAAACTGTTGCTTTTGTTCAGAAAACAAAACTTCACAAGATCATTGAAGTGTTATTCAATGAAAATTACTTTACCATGACATGGTACCATAAGCATTTCAACTATTCCCATAATTCTAGCATTGATGGACTTCTTCAAACATATCATAGTCGTTTGCTTGTTTTAAATAATTTTTTATTTATTTCTTTTGTATTTGTATTACTCCCCCCACCCCTCCCAGAGTGCCATCCCTTAAAAGAAAGGAGGGAAAAAGTTCACATTGGAAAAAATGTAACATTATATGCCCTTCTACACCCATACTCTCCCATCTCTACAGAGAAAGGGTACCTGGAAAGTAGGTGTCTTTTCATATCTCTTCTTTAGAGCTAACTATCATACATAGTCTTCTAACCCTACTTTTGGGTTCTCTTATTTTGTTCAAAGAAGGGAAATTTACTTTTTAAGGTCCCTTTTAAGGATAACTTCTCCATATTTAAATAAGAATACATTCTGGAATGTTTTACTTTTTCCTATTTCATATGAATGAAAACAGATTTGAAATTTATGATATTCAATCAATCAACAAGCATTTAAAAAGCAACTACTAATCACTTAACCGTGTTTGCCTCAGTTTCCTCATCTGTAAGGTGAAGAAGGAAATGGAAAACCACTCCAGTATCTCTGCCAAGAAAACCCCATATATGGTCACAAAGAGTAAGACATGAATGAAACGACTAAACAACAAAACAAAAATTCTAATGGGGAACACAAGAAATACAGAAATATATACAGAATAACTACCAAGAGAACAAATGCAAACAGACAGAAAGTTGTTAGATACAAGGTATTTTGGGAAAGAAAGCACTAGCAGTTAGGGGAAATCAACAAAGGATTATTCTGAAAAGTGATGCATGAACTAAGCCTTGAAGGAAGAAAAAGAATTTACAAGGTGGCAGTGAGAACAGAACATGTTTTAGGCTACAAGGGTAGTGAATGCCAAGAAAAAAGTGGGAGGTAGAGGATCCTATATGAGGAGAGAGAGAAGGCCAGTTTGTCGGGATCGCAAAATACTAGAGAATGAAGCTGGAAAAACAGGCTGGGGCCAGTTTGTGAAAAGCTTTAAAAGTTAAACAAAGAAGTTTACATTTTATCCTTAAGGCAATAAGGAGCCACTGAAATTGATTCACTAGAAAAGAGACTTTGGCAGCAAAATATAGGCTGGCTTTAAGCAGAAAGGAAATGGAGTGGAAGGTATCTATACCTTCTTATCTATTTTTTAAAAAGCCATCTATAGTCATATGAAAAAATGCTCTAAATCACTACTGATTAGAGAAATGCAAACCAAAACAACTCTGAGGTACCACATCACACCTATTAGATTGGCTAACATGACAAAACAGGAAAATGATAAATGCTGGAGAAGATGTAGGAAACTTGGAACACTAATGCGTGTTGCTGGAATTGTGAAATGAATCAACCATTTTGGAGAGCAATTTAGAACTATGCCAAAAGGGCTATAAGAATGTGCATACCCTTTGACCCAACAAAAGCACTTCTAGGGCTGTACCCCAAAGAGATCATACAAATGGGAAAAGGACCCACATATGCAAAAATATTGATAGCAGCTCTTTCTGTGGTGGCAAAGAATTGGAAATTGTGGGGATGCCCATCAACTGGGGAATGGCTAAACAAGTTGTGGTATATGAATGCAATGGAATACTATCATGCTATAAAAAATGATGAGCAAGTGGACTTCAGAAAAACCTGGAAAGACTTGTATGGTCTGATGCTGAGTGAAGTGAGCAGAACCAGGAAAACAACGTACACAGTAACAGCCACACTGTGTGATGACTAACTTTGACAGACTTAGCTCTTCTCAGCAACGCAAGGATCTAAAACATCTCCAAACGTCTCCTGATGGAAAACGCTATCTATATCCAAAGAAAAAACCATGGAGTTTGAATGCAGATCGAAGCACACTATTTGCTCTTTTTCTTTTCTGTATTGCTTTGTTTCTTCTTTATTGTGGCTCCTCCTGTTGGTTCTAATTCTTCTTTACAACATGATGTGAAAATATGTGTAATAGGAATAAATATGTGTAATGTGAAAATATGCAGAACCTATATCAGAAAATATAAAGACAATTTAAAACTCAAAAGTTTATGGAAGTGATTGTTGAAAACGAAAAATAAATTAAAAAAAAAAGGTTGTTGGATTAATCTAAATAAGAGGTGATGAGGACCTAATAGCTGTGTGTGTGTCTCTGTCTATGTGTGTCTGGTGCACGCAAACACTTACTCTATACCAAGCACTGTGTTAAGTGTTAGGGACACAAAAGCAAGCAATATAGTTCCTGCCTCAAAGAGTTTACATCCTAATCTGGGAAGACTCGCCATATAAACAGGGATTGGGAAAAGGACTAGTGAGTATGCACCTAGCAGCAGTGTTTGGAAATGACCAGCAAGTACAGCAGTGACCTGGTTCCAGGGCAAGATAAGGCAAAAACTCACCTATCAGAACCCCAAGGTCCTAGGGTCAGAGCCCAAGTTCTGCTAGTTGGGGAATAAAGAGAACGGCCAGAATGCAGACTGGCCAGGAGAAAGAGAAATGGTTGGATGGGAGAGACCTGGGTTCAAGTCCCACTTCTGACACATATAGGCTAAGTGATCCTGGACTACTCAATGCTCTAGACAATTCTCTAAGACTTTTAAGTTGAAGATAAGTTGCTGAACTGCATTGGTGGAAGGAGCTTCTGCACCTGGGATCTCCCTATACCAGTGAAATCAAAAGTCTAGTTCCTATCTCTTCTGAAACTTAGCCATAAGTTATACTACAATATGTATTTTTGTGTCTGTCATAGTAACACAGTGGGCACTCAGATATATGATGAATAAAAGTCATTTACTTTCTAAGCATTAATTGGAATTACAACTGGTCTTTATTATAAATTACAAATTACAATTTGTTCATCTGCACACACTTGGATCCTCACCTGTCTATTAAATTGATTACGGGCCAAAGGAAAAAACAAATGCCTGCTAGATTCTGGATATCTTTATGTTGGGAGTTCACAGCCCAGCATACAAGATATAAAGTAAAACTAAGTAAGAAGTAACTGGTTTGGGGAAAGAAAACAAGTGACATTTAGGAAAAAAATTTTCCCAAACCAAATTTTACAAATAATGTTTGACATTTCTTTGGATCAAATATTTAATAGATATATGCATTATTTCATTAACCATGAGATAAGCCAATTTGGTTTTCCCAACTAAGAAAAAAATTTGTTTTTCTTAAATTAGTTCAATCTGAATAATAAACACATGTTAAAATCTGCTAAAATTATCCCAGTATGAAAATCATATTAAACTTGTTTCTATAATGTATTCAGTGTACTACAGAGCCTAGCACAACTCACCTGTTATACCAGGTCTAGGCATAAAATGTAAAAGCCAAATACTAATGCAACTCTATTATATGAAACACATGCTAGAATGAAGAATAACATCAAAGTTCACCATCCTACAAACATTCCTATGGGAAATGGTATCATGTTTCTGCTAATTACCTTGTCAAAAAAAGGAAAAGAAGCCTCTCCCGTGATGCAGGCTGATCTCGTGTGCTGAAATAAGAGTAAATCTGAAGAGCAAATAAGACAAGCCAGAAGACCATGAAAAGAACGGGGACAACCAGCTGATTCCATAAGGACATTCCCAAAGCCAAAAGGCCATATACTTCCACTACCTAAATACAGAAATAACACAAGTCCAATTAATTTGTGAAATCATTTCATATTCAGACAAAATAACAATTATAGCAATTATGGAATTACATTTCAAGAGAGAAGATTCTAAAGAAACTTATTTTGATTCAGAGAAAAATAAGCATAGTTTTTCTCTCATTGAAAGACTGCTTTAACATTTAATTCTCTAATAAAAATTAAAGGAACTCAACAATTATAAAATATCAGATTTCTCAGTTTTACAACAACTACTACTACCTCACATACTGGCACAATCTAACTTATAACCAAAAACAATATTTTAATAAACAAAAAATGACTTTTCTGATCAGCTATAAAGATACTATGATAATATTTTAATTTTAATAAATATCTATACATAAAGACACTTTAGAACTTCCTTTGATCTCCTTTATCACCTAACAGTGCTTAATAAATTTAATTTGTTTTTTGTTTCACAATAGTAGATTACAGGGTTTAAAAAATAGATTGCAGGCCATTATAAAAATAATATGGCTTCAAAAATAATATTATTCATTTTGTAAAAGCTGGTACTGATCTATAAACAATTTTTAGACATCAACTTGTAATTAAATTATAGAATCTTAAACTCATTTCAAAAGCTGGATATGGGTTAAAATATAAAATAAGCTATTCAATTCACAATAGTTCATAGAAAACATCACATATCTTTTATTGCTAGTTTATTCAAGCCAAGTATTTTCAAAGAAATTTCCACTTAACTACTCTGGGTTTCAGTTTCCTCCTTTGCACAATAAAAATTTTACACTACCTGATTTCTAAGAGTTCTTCAAACTCTAAAAGCCTATGACTCTATTCCTAACATTATCTTACCCTTCTTATCAAAATAAGATCACTCAAAAATTATACGATTTCAATTTTTCTTCTATCCAACTTTTCAGGATATAATTATCATAATCTCATATTTAAATCAATTTATTTCTAACCATTGTTTTAATATCACTCACATTGTGGTGGTGCAATGCATCCAATAAGGAACCAAAAAGAAAGTTAATTCAACATTTGAAAATGGAGATTTAGTCTATGGTTTTCAAGTATGCAACGAAATGGAATAATTTTACCAACGCAAATCCTAAGAAAAAATGTGTTATCTCAAACCAATTAAGTATTATTGTCTTTGATTACAGTAAATTACAGAACAAAACATATTAATAATATAATCTTTTCTGGTGAGATAAATTGTATCCACAATTTATAAGAATTTAAAATAAAGTACTGTTCATGAAGAAATGTTACACTGAATCAGCTTTTGTGATTGCAAAATCACAAATTCCATTTTCCATGTTGAAGTATTTCAAAACCACTAATTTTCTTGGTTTCTAGGATAAGCTATTGCTGATAATTATGATGACAAGGGAACTGAATCTCACAAGGCTATATATGGAATAAATGAAATTTGTTCAGAGCTATAAATGAAATTTACTAGTGTGCAGATCCTACAAAGCTCGTAGCAATTACTCTAACTAAAATGAAGTGTCCAACAAGTCAATGTTACTCTCAAAGTATAAACTATATTTGATGGATATAATCTAAATGGGAATCATGACTACTATGATATACCAAAAAAATAACAGAGTACAAACAGGCCTAGATTCCTGGGGACTATTTAAGGAAGAGGCCTAGAATAGATACTTCACCATTTCCCATCTGACTACTCACCTGGACTTCATCATTGTCTCTAGAAACTCATCTTACTTGCAAGATCACATCAACTCAAATTCTTATCTCCTTAGTACCCTATCCCCTTGGGTCTTTCCTACCTTCTAAGTGGAAAGGGTAGAGAGTGGACATCAGAGAGCTCCTCTCAGAATCTCTATTTAAGGAGTGCGGCCCAAGGTAGATACTTTATTATTTCCCACTTGGTATCAGGACTTCATCATGCCCCCAAGCTGGGTATGCCCCTCCTCCCATTCCTGCTCTTCAGCTTCTTGTTATGTGCTTGTCATCCCCCACTGGACTGTGAGCTCTCTGAGGGTGGGGACTGCCTCTTGCCTTTATTTGTATTCCTAGAACTTAGCTTAGTGTTTGGCACAGTGAGTGCTTAATAAATGTTTATTGACTAAATAGTAAAAGATTCTCTAGTCCACAATTGTTCAGCAAATCTGATTCCTCCAAGCCCTCTGCTCTCTAGCACTATCTGTCTACCTTCATCCTATGAGTCAAGCCACAGGAGGTTTTGTACTTCATAACGTGTTCTCCAGAAAAGGTACCACATGAGGGAGGATTATTTCTTCTTAATCCACATCAGGGCTCTAGGAAGCCTCAGTCTCTCAGAGACATGATTTTAAACCATAAGCGTAAGGGGCTGTGACCCAGGTTGAGCGCAGAAGGAAAAGACATGATATAGTACATGTTTCTGCAGCTGTCAGGGAAGGATCTGCATACCATAAATTCTGAACAATGTAAATAAAGAGGGCTTCCTGTATCTTTATGTAGTGGTTACACATGCACATACATACACACCTACACAAAATCAATAAATAATACATAATAACCACATAGGCCACTTTTTAGCATTCTACTTTGTACTCGTGACAGTTTTGAGATGGTAAAATTGAGATATAACTAATGTTGTTGGCTAGGTTAATTTCTTAAATACTTAATTTACTATATTTCTGAGATGCTGATACATATTTAGCATTTTCAAAAACACGATTTTAAAATATCAGCTAGATGGTCAACCTCTCTAATTTCTATTATTTGTGACTTAAATATAATCTGTTTGGGATCAAAACACTAAAGGGAGGCACTCTAATACATAATGGGAATTATATTACATTAACAAAAATATTAGCTGCAAGGATCTAAGACATCTCCAAAGGTCTCATGATGGAAAATGCTATCCACATGCAAAGAAAGAACTATGGAGTTTGAATGCAGATTGAAGCATGCTATTTGCTATTTTTTTCCTTCTGTTTTGTTCTGTTTCCTCTTTCTGGTGGTCCCTCCTATTGGTCTAGTTCTTCCTTACAACATCACTAATGTGAAAATATGTTTAATAGGAATGTATATGTATAGCCTGTATCAGATTACGTCCCATCTTTGGGTGGGAGAGAGGGCAGGAGGGGGAGAAAAATTTAAAAATCAAAAGCTTATGGAAGTGATTGTTTATAAATAAAAATAAATTGATAAAAAAATTTATAAAAAGAATATACATTAGCAAAAGTTTGACTCAAATTAAGAGACTAAGTAAAACAATTAAAATGTAGCCTTGGTTTTCACCTATCAATTATCAATTCAAATAAATTACCATGACAGAGAAATTTATCCATGGTCATTTTACTTTTAGTAGAATAACCAAAGTTGAGGAAAACAATCGGGCTTTGTCCATCAAGTACCAACACTTTACACAAATCCCCACCAGCATTCTAACTAAGCTTTAAATCATTACCATAATTACACCAAGTAACGTTATCACTAAGATAGATCTGGCTCAAAAAATTTATGAAATGATGATAAATGGTAAATTAAATGCCAAGTGTATTTTGTGCTTAGGTAGTATTTCAACCAAGTATTACTCAATGTGTTCCTCACCTGGACCAATTCCCTGTATGCAGATTTAGCAAGATTATATGGGACCAAAAGGTTGGATGCAAGAAAATAGAGAACTTCTAGTCCAGTAAAAATCATTGCAAACTTGTTAATGACAACAATAGTCTCCAGTGGAACCAGGCAGAGTCGTGCTAGGAGAGGAAGCATGTGAGCGGAAAAGAGCCATATCTGTTTAGTTTTCATCACACACGAGCACAACGTACACACCACCAACTGACCTAAAGGGGAAAAAAAAGACGCTAAAATTAGTATCATTTAATAAAAGTGAGCTCAAAGAACATCCTCAACCTGATACTCTACCAAGAGAATGCCTTAATAATAACGTCTAGAGTAATCAATGCTTTTTGCATTCACTCTCTAGGATTATATTCATGGGCTTCAAATGTCAATCTTTTTTGACAGTAATTCTATCTTCACTTTATCTATGAATCTTGTATCCATCTGTCCTCTGTGAGTTCTTTTTTAAGTACAATTAATTTCCATTGATTTTCATAACATTCCAAGCTGAAGTCAAGGCCACAGCTAATTCAATATTATAATGCCACTGTTAGTTTATTTTTATAACTCTGATTTCAGATATACTCAATATTTTACAGGTAAAATGGCAGAGTTCACATTTTATGGGTGAAATTGTAGAGTTAAGAGATAAAGCATACTCAAGATTATCCAATAAAAGTGAGCTAGGAAAAAATTCATATGTCCAAATTTTAAGTCAGAGTTATAGTATTATTAGATTGTGCTGCCTCCCCAAATGCCTCAAGTCATGAAGGTTAAGTTTACATTCTAGTAGAATTTTAAGTTTCTTGAAGGCAAAGATTGTTTTCTTTTAATATCCCCAGAATCTACATACCTTACAATAATACATACTAAGCACTTAATACATGCTGAATTTATATAACTTTAAAAAAACATTATGGATGATTTTAATTTAGTTTAAAAAAAATTTTTTTTAATTCTAGTCTATTTCATAATGCCATGGAAATTATCCGGGTTCTTAAAGATTATAGAAGGGTGGACTAAGTGTCTTTATCAAGTCGAAAAAGCCTCAAGGCCATGGTTAGTAATTCTATGTCTGTTGTCTACAGATGAGCCTACCTAAATTCATAAGGCTTGCTAGAAAATTAGCGGCCACTAAGGTGAGTTTTTGGCCACACCAGCTCTGGAGGATCAACCAAAAAATTATAGAGGGTTGAAATCTACATTAGTGGAGGAAGTGCTCATACGAAAAAAATCACAGCTCCTCAAAGTACTGAAGCATTTTTCTACAAATATTGATTTTTTTTATCCCAATATGAGAATATAAAAGAAACTTCATCTGGTTTTGCTTTTAACATTTTTACACAGGAGCCAGATAAACATTTTTTTAAATCCAGTTATTCTGAAAAAAGTATGTGGCCTTATGTGTGTAATGAGCTTGTTCTAGGTTTTTATGATCAATAATCAAATTAACATTCTGATCTTTCTGAGAAAATGCTAAATAGAAGCATTCCTAGAAACTAAAGGAAATGAAGTGCTACAAAAATACACTTTAGGACTAAGACCCAGTCATTTGCACCCCAAGTATCTATTACTTTTATGCACTTAAAATAATGGACTACCTGTTGTACATTTGAGCTTCCCTGTACAGCATGATGTAAACTTCCTGCAAGCAGAGAAAATTCCCATAAGTCTATACCAGCATCATGCGGTGATGAGACTCAGGGTTACTGGTTTTAATTGTCTTCTTTCATTGATAAGCATGACTCACATATTATACTCTTTTGGAGAAGTATAATTTGTTATGTAGGAAAAGACAGGGGCTACAATACTAATGGAATTTCTCGCCCCAGCTCTAAGAGAACAGCTTTTTATTTTCTGATGTATGTATACACTCAAACTGATTGTTCTAAACACTGAACAAAAATTACATAACATTATTAGCTTTCAATTTTAGACCACCACCTATTAAAATCATGTCCAAGAACCTTATAATACTATTTAATATTTTTAAATTAGTTAATGTACTAGGTGTATGACCCTTGGCAAGTCACTTAACCCCAACTGCCTCACCAAAAACAAACAAAAAAATTTTAAAAAATAAAATTAGTTAATGTTTCCTTAAAGTTTACATCAGTTACAGGGGAAGACAGTCACTTTTTTAAAATGAGGGTGAAACAACTTTGTAGGTATTTCAAAAGGCATGGACTTTTCCACCCACACTGCTCTATTTTGTTAATAAGCATTTACTAAACACATCTATATGCAGACCACTGAAGTAATCAATATATAAAATTCAGAGTAATGTTATTAACTTCTTTGGATTATGCTAAATTAAAATCTTAACATATTAGACATACTAGGACTTATTTTTGTAAAACATTTCCATGAGTTTGAAGAATTTATAAGAACTAACTCAGTGTTTTAAAAGTTTATGATAATTATCTATATCAGTCTGAAGCAAAGTGATTGCAAATATAGACAGACTTAAACCTACAGTTACAATTCAGTCCACTAAGGTAAATTGCTTTATTTAAAAATTAATCTTCCCCCTCCATTCTCACCAGCAAGACATGCAGAAAAAATGCTTTGGTATATTTTATAAAAATACATATTTTGTATATAAAATAGCTTACATACTTTATACAAAACTATAGTTTTAGCTTATAATTTTAAATATATAAATAAAATGAAGACTTTTCCAAGCACAGTGATGATAGGCAATAATAGTGACATCATATTTGTACAGTACTCATTACAAAGGGCTTTTTTTACATACTGTTTCATTTGATCCTCACAACAGCTATGTAAAGAAGTTAGAGAGGTCTTATAATCCTCAATTTTACAAATGAGGAAACAGAAATTCACAGAAGTAACTTCTGTAGTCACAGGAGCAGCTGGTTTAATTATGCCAGTGCTACTTTATTCTAGCACTTTGTATTACACCACGCTGTGATCTCCTGACAATCTTTAAGTAAAAACTAACTTATATAGAGCTTTAAAGAATACAAAGAGCATTATTTCATATGAGACTCACAAAAGCTCTATGAGGTAGTTACTATAAGTATTAAGTTAAATAACTTGCTCACAGTCACACAGCGTCACAGGGAAAATCTGAATACAGGTCTTCCTGACTCCAAATCTGGCACTCTACCTACTCCAACATGCTGTCTCCTCCCTCCTAACCATTAGCGTGGCACAGAGGTGGGGGAACCTGCAGGCCTTGAGGCCACATGTAGCCCTCTAGGTCCTTAAATGCAGCCCTCTGACTTCATCCAAACTTCACAGAACAAATCCCCTTAAACTTGCACTCAGTCAAAAGGCCACACCCAAAGACCTAAAAGGCCACATGTGACCTCACCGCAGGTTCCATACCCCTGACCTAGCACATCTCACCTAGAAATATAAAGAAACCTTAAAAATATAAAAGCTAACATAGCTCATTAAAATCAAGAGCCCATCTTCAAGAAAGAAAAGATGCCTAATACACATTTTTAATGTTCATTCCTCCCTAATAAGTTCTTATCCATCATCTTACCTGTTTTTGCTAATTACACTTACCTATTAGGGCTGTGGTGAAACGATTCATGGACAATGGCTCTAAGTACATTGGTCCTTCATAGGCTGACTCCAGTTCACTTCTAACATAATCCCTAAAATGTCCAAATAATAAAATTTCATTTTTATGTACATTCCAAGAACAGGATTGAAGTGAAGAAGGGAAGGGAAATTGACAGGGATAAAACTCCACTTCACAGCTTAGACAGACAATTTCCCTACAAACTTAGATTATGCTAGTGAAATTCTTTTTCCCTATTAGAAAGAACATTCCAAGCTCATATTGGCATGATCAGCCACAGTCAAACACACTGTAACTTGACTCTAACACAGTGATGTCATTTTGGTCCTCTTCAAGAACAAAGCACAACAACCAATTAACCAATTAATACGACTGCACAAGAATGCATTTTTTGGAAATGACGTTTCCTTCCTGCATTCTCCCATACCTACCACCCACATAATATACTGGAGCTTAATTTTACTGTTTCAGGGAGCAGAAGCAAAAAGAGAGGGAGTTATCTTGCAGGTAGTTCACAATGTTTCAGTAGATATTTTATTTCCCCCTCACAGATCTTATACAATAAAATGTCACTAAAGCAACTCATCTTCTTATACTGCTATTTGGATTACTGATAATGATGATGATGATGATGATAATGACAATAAGCCTTCCCTTCCTACTCTCTTCTCAGTGCCCTAGCCCCCACCCCAAAAAAGCTATTTCTCTCAGTCTTCCTTTGTTTCTGTCTCTCTTCCATTCTTTATTATTTACATATCAAAGTAACCATACAAATCAAGTCTGCATATAACAAGAAAACACTTGTTTGACCAAAAACTGGTTGGTTTGTTTTCAGAGTATTTTTGCAGATTTAAAGAATTCTGATCAAGGAAATCAACAAAATTCCAAATGGTGAAGTACACTACCGTGACAGAGAGGTGACTGACTCAAAATGCTGAATGAGACATACATTTTTGGCCACAGCCAGTATGGTCATCTGTTTTATTTGATTATATGTATTTGTTGCAAGGGTTTTGTTTTCCTTTTTTTTCCAATAGGGGAGAAAGACAGAGAGGAAAAGGGATAGGGATTCCTCACTACTGAAAAAGAAAATAAAAGGAAAGACCAAAAGGAAACACAGATAAGCAGGACAGCTTTGAAAATTACATGTTGAATGTACTGCATACTTTAAAAGAAAAATAGATTTTACATAACAGAAGATTCACAATTTCATATGCAATTATCTCCTCTTCAATAACATATATGGAAAAATTCATTTGGTATTTAAGTTCAGAATTTTAAAAAATTAAAGAATATTCAGCCCACTTTAATACAAAAGTAGTTATAAATCATAGGATCAGTTCAGAACTGAAAATTATATTTAAATATGCATGTTTTATTTACTTTTAATACAAAAAATCTAGTTCATTTAATTTCGTACCTTATAGGTTAGACAAATTTAAAAAGCAGTAAAATCTTTGGACATCAAATTAAGAAGATGAGATTTTAATAATTTTTCCTTCCAAAAAACAATCTGTTGTATCCAAGCTTACTTTGGGGGGAAAATATCTCTTCTACTTCCTATCAGTTATTAGATAGCCTTCCTACTCCTAGGTACTCTAGGGCAGATGTATCAAACTCAAATAGAAAGTAAGTACTACTGCACACATAAGGATCCCTACCACCAACCAACACACTGACTTAGTTCTGTTATATTTTTATTTATTGTTAAATGTTTCCCAGTTGGGAGTATACTGTGTAGTGGAATACATGTGCCTCACAGGATGCAGTTTGACACCACTGCTCTCTAGAGCAGTACTACTACTACTACTACTACTACTACTACTACTACTACTACTACTACTACTACTACTACTACTACTACACCAGTCCTAGAGAGCTTGGCATCAAACTCAAATAGAAAAGAGGCTAGCAGGCCTCATATAGCTTAGAAAACCACAAATTAACATTACCAATATATGAAGGCAGGTAGGTGGCTCAACAGATAGAGCAGTGGGCCAACCTAAGTTCAAATCCAGCCTCCAACACTCACTAGCTATGTGACCCTGGGCAAGTCACTTTTAACCTCTGTTTTCCTTTACTGACTGGAGAAGGAAATGGCAAACCACTCCAGCATCTTTGCCAAGAAAACCCCACACAGAAAAGGACCTATCTGTACAAAAATATTTATAGTAGCTCTTTTTGCGGTGGAAAAGAATTGGAAATTGAGGAGATAATCCATCAATTGGGGAATGGCTGAACAAGGTGTGGTATATGGTTGTAATGAAATACTAATTGTGCTGTAAGAAATAACAAGCAGGATGATTTCAGAAAAACCTGGTATGACTTAACATGAACTGAAAATGAAGTGAGCAGAACCAGGAGAAAATGTACACACTAACAGCAACATTGTACGGATGATCAACTGTGAATGACTTAGCTGTTGTCAGCAGTACAATGATCCAAGACAATTCCAAAGCATTCATGATGAAAAATGCCATATATCTCCAGAGAAAGAACTGATGAAGTCTGAATGCAGAATGAAGCATACTGTTTTTCACTTGATTTTTTTTCATGGATTTTTTTTGGGGGTGTCTCTGTTTTCTTTCACAACATGACTAATATGGAAATGTTTTACATGATTGCACATGTATAACCTATCAAATTCTTTGCCTTCTCAATGAGAGGGAATGGGAGGGAGGGAGAGAATTTGGAACTCAAAATTTTTTTTAAATGAGTATTAATTGTTTTTACATGTAACTGGGGGGAAAATAAAATATTCTTTTAAAAAAAGAGGAAGGCTTGAAAAAAAGAAAAGAAAGAAAGAAAACCCAATACAGGGTCACAAACAGTTGGACCCCTCTGTTCTTGGGCTCTTAGGCAGAGCAATCTTCGACACTCCTTAATACATTCATATAGTATGTACACTTTCAATTCATTTACTTCCTATAGGAAATGAAATGATACTCATTTCAGCATAATAAAACAAAGACTGGGCCCTGGGATCATTTGCTGGCTTGTTGTCAAAAAAGAAAAAAAAAATTTTTTTTTTAGTGGAAAGCAGTTTTGGAGATCTTGCTTTTTCAAATACTCTAAAAGATCTATGATTGCATTGGTATGGGGTTAATCTCTTCACCAATACAGATCAATCCTCCTTGATCATCTTCCTGAGTTTCTGTGTCTCCCTCTTATTATATTATTATCTTCTCCCTCCATATCATCACATTTGGTGATCTCATCAGTTCCCATGGATTCCCACATCAACAACAGCATTTTGGACATCTTAAACTGGATGTCCACTAATGAATTCACCTTTTCCCTCAAACCCTCCCCCTTCCTCTTGAAAACACCAATATTCTCCAAGTCACCCACCCATGCAACCTAAGTGTTTCTCCCACACCTGGATTACTGCAATAGCCTGCTAACCAGTTTCCATACCTGGAGTCTCTCCCCATGCCAAGCTACCCTCTACTCAGTTACCAAAGTGATGTTCCTAAAAATTCAGATCTGAATGTTAATCCCCTACTCAATAAACTCCAGTGGTTGTTTATTATCTCCAGAATCAAATATAAAATCCTATCTGGATTTTAAAGTCCTTCAAAACCTGATCCCTTCCTACCGTTCCAGTTTTTTTATACTTGACTCTCTTCTTCACTCTCTATGATTCAGCAACACTAGTCTCCTTGCTGTGCTTCTCATAGGACACACTATATCTCCATTCCTTGATTATCTTCTACTTATACTCTAAATTAATCATAACTGTTCACAGTTATTTACACACTGTCTTCCCCATTTGAATGTGAGCTTCCTGAGATCAGGCGCTATGTCTCTGCCTTTCTTTATATCCCCAGTATTTAACACAGTACATGGCACACAATAAGCACGTAATAAATGCTTGGTGACTGACCTGAAGTCGTTCTATTTTTTCTGACAGAGCTTGTACACCATTGGCAAAACCTTGAAGAACACAAAGCCACTTTTGTGCCATGATGAGCATCAGAGAAACACGTTAGTGGAAGTTAGGGACATGAAAAGTAACAAATCCAACAACAATTATGCCCAGGGGATGTAATGTAATTTTTTTCTATTCATTTATCCATTTAGTCAACAAACATTTATTAATTGCCTACAATTTTATCTGCTACAATGATGACCATTTCTGATGCTTAAATATAACAAAAATAGTCTATGGTCACTTGCAATCACTAAAAAAAATGAAAGCTCTTAAAGTTGCAAATGGAATGAAACAATTCTATATATATAATTTACACAGATAATCCATTTGGCTTTATCTTCTGTAATTAGGTTTTCATCACAATACACAAACACAAATGTAAAATATAACTAATGTTTTATTTACTTTTTATAAAATCTTGATAAGTGCTCCTGTGAATAAGTTTACAAAAATCAATATTCATTTCATTAAGACAGCAACTAGTGAACTTATTTTTCTTTCTGGAGATCCTAAATATTCAATAAAAAGGGGGAAAGAGGACTGAAAAAAAGATGAGGTCCTTAACTAAAGACTTAATTCCTATGTCTTATTTCAGTCAAATAGATACTAACAGTACTCCTTTCTTAATTAACCCCTATTGTCCTGCCACCATGGACAAAACAGAGCACAATAAAAACAACAGAGGCTTGTTTTACTGAAGCTATGTTTTTATAGCATAACCTAAAGGACTGTTTGAAATAATTTAAGCTAAGAATAAGAGAATCTGGGGCTGTAATTCTTCAATTCTATTTTTCATAAAGTTTAGTCTTTTTAAGAAGCAAGAACTGATGAGATGTTCCAAGAACACATTACAAACTTTTAATTCAGAAGCCTTGTATAATGACATTTATTATTAGAGGAAAATAACTTACATCCTACTCAACTGAATAACAAACAATAGCTTTTTCCTCCCAAATCTCCTCATTTGGGCAATCTGGAGAAAGCAAGCAGTGCTGAGCACTAACAACAACAACCAAAAACAAACGAACAAACAAAAAAAAAGCAACCTTTTTTACAACCTAGTCACCTAGTCACAAGTATCCATGACAGCTCATTCTCTCTTCTGATTTTAAGCTGTTCCCGAATGTGTTAGATGTACTGAAACTGTTTTCTTCAAAATAATCTGCAAGAGAGAGAAATGACTAAAGGAGGACAATGTGATATGGTGAAAAGAGAGAGTACTGGATTTGGAGTCAGAGGATCTAAGTTCAAATTCCACCTCTGTGATTTACTACCCTTGTGATACCGGGCAAGCAAATGAACCTCTCTGGTCCTCAATTTCTTCATCTACAAAATGAGAGGTTTAGAATGAATGACTCCTAAATTTTCTTCCAACTCTAAATATAAGTTCTATAATGTCATATGATTTTATAATAAATATCCTTACTTTCTTTCAAAGCTCTGCTCAAGTGCCACCTCCTACAAAGGACCTCGCTTAATTCCTCTGTTACCAGTGATTCCAAGACTGTTCTGTACATTCTTAGTATATATACTCTGTATTTATTTATGTATATATGAATGTTTGTCAGAATGTAAAATTCTTGAGTGCTATTACTTGGGGATTTTACGTTGTTGTTTTTTGTCTTTGGCTCTACAGTATATAAGTACAGGGCTTATCAGCACGTAGTTGGTACTTATAAATGCTTGCTGATTGTTACTAATGCTTGCCCAAAAATTTATTGGTTTTGCTTCTACACACACTTTGTGTTTATCTGTTTGCACAATTTCCTCCCCCAACAGAATGTCTGAATGCTGTTCCCCAACCACCACCACCCCCCCCAATTCTGAGGGAAAGAAAGGTTTTTTTATCTTTCTTTTTATTCCTGGTACCTACCACAGGACAAGGGCTTTCTTATCTATTTGGCACTAAATGCGTATAGACTAATGATCTTATACCAAATGCCACAATAAGCTCAAAATGCTTATGTAATCTGAATTTAAAAGCTCACATCACAAAAAATTAGAAGAGAACAAGATCAGATATTTTTATAGTATAAAAAAAGAGAATTTTATCCAAACAAGGGAGATCACAGAAGATAAAAATAGAAAATACCTATTTCATGAAATTGAAAAGCCTTTGCACACACACACAAAAAATAAATAAATGCAGCTCTGGTAAGAAGGAAAGTCATGGATTAGGGAAAAAATATTTGCATCAAAATTTTCTGATAAAACTCTCACACCCAAGATACAAAGGGAATTCAATATACTAAAACCAAGAGCCATGTCATCAATGAATGTGGTCAAAGGATGTAAACCAACCTTTCTCAAAAGAACTTCAAACTATTAACAACAATATGACAGACTGCTCTAAATCACGAATAAGAGAAATGCAAATTAAAAACTATGCTAGGTTTTACCTCACACATTGAAAATCAGTCAAGATGATGAAAAGATGAGAATAGGCAATACTGGAGGGGTTACAAGATAGGCACATTAGTAATACATTGTTAGTGTAACTAGCCCCAATTCTGGAAAGCAATTGGGAATTACACCAAAAAAGAAACCTGAATAAAATATCCACACTCTTTGACACACTGATCTCAGTGCCACACAAATCCCAGAAAGAGATATTCACAGTAGCACTTTTTTGCAGCAGCAACGAACAGGACACCAAGTACATACTCACTGATTAGATGGATAAATACATTCTAAAAGGAAGCATGACCTTAATATTAAAGATCTCATTTTTAAAAAGAGATAGACGCAGATCATACACCTCTTACATCTCTGGGTAGGAGATTTATTTGTAGCCAAACAAGGAATAGAGGCATTTACAAAAAGTAAACAGTAACTCTGATGACGTGAAACTGAAAAACTTCTCCACAGACAGAATTAATACACTTAGGATAAGAGGGGAAGCAGTTAAATGAGAGGAAAAGTTTTTATATTAAATATGTGCCTGGTACATAGTAAGCACTATATAAATAAATGTTAGTGCTTATTATAATAAAAATAAATATCAAAATAAGGATAATTTCGTCTAAATGTTGAGGTCGGGAGAATTCCTTGTAATTGAGGAACTAGAAGAGACTGACATAGAGGCACTGACCAAGGCTTTTTCAAGGATTTAGCCTTTTTTCAAGGATTCAAGGAGAGGTGAGATATAGGATGATAGCTAAGGGGAGTGAAGTGAAGGTTTTTTAAAGAACAGGGAAATAAATGTGATGTACCAACAAAAGGCATCATAAGAATGTTTAGTTTTTTGTTTTTTTTAAAGAAAAAAGAACAAATGGGGTCAAAGCTCTTGTATTTCTTACAATGAATCCTAACTCTTGGGGGCAGCTTGGTGGAGTACCAGCGTAGAGACAGGAGGACCTGAGTTCAAATCTGGCCCCAGACATTTACTAGCTGTGTGACTCTGGGCAAGTCACTTAACCCCAACTACCTCGCCAAAAAAAAAAATCAGCTCTTGTAGAGGTAGATGCCAAGTATAAATTATTGTATTTTTCAAAGACCAAATGATTCATCCGTAATATTTTACAGATATATTATAATAAAATGGTACATCTTATTTGAAGCATATTTTTGCTTAAAATAAAAATAAACCTTTGCCCCTCTCTAATAAGAAAAGGGGTCTTTTTAAACATCAGAAAAATAAACCCATAGAGCAAAGTGCTGAAACTTCAAATAAAAAATGACTGTCAAAAAATATTTATTTTCCTCTAGTACTACCTTTCTCTCAGTTTCTCATCCTCCAAAAGCATAATGTTTGCCCTCTCTGGAAAAGTATGAATAATACATAACTATGTTACGTAAATGTTGTGGCTGTCATGGTTTCAATCATCACTAAAATTCTATTTTTACATGAAGGCTAAACGTCTGGAGGAAAAGGCTGCATTATTGTTTTTGCTAAAGTGATTTTAACACATTTACTACTTCACTGGATCTCAAAGGCTGTCCATTTAAAGAGCTGAGTTCTTTACAGAGCACAAACTCTGAGAGGTTCTATAACAGGTTTCAAGTACAGTTCCAAAGACAGGCTTTTCAGAGGGCCAGTCTAGTTCTAAGAGGTTTATTACAATAGGCTGGCCACCTAAGTGATGAGTTCTCTGGCCACTAAGACCCATGAAACATTTTAGCATAAAAACGGTCTTTAACTTAATAAAACAGAACACTTATCTTTATTGACAGGCAACTACTCCTTGCTCTAAGTTCAAATAGATATTCTTCCTAGATTTGCCGATATTTTGTGTACTATAAAAAATTCTATTAAATTATGAAACAATAGTATCCTGATCAAGTGGAATATATTAAGCAATCATTCCACATGGTCATGCGCATATAGACTGCTATAGCTTTCAAGGTGATTTCCATTAATGACTACCTGCAAGTCCATCACTACCAATTATATTCCTATCCTATTCCTATCCTGATAAAGAAAAATAGGAAAATAAGAGTTCTTTTAAGTCTTTATACGTAACATGTCTATGTAACGCTCTTCATCAAAAGAGGAAAAAATTCTCCAATATTTCTATAAGCATTAGAACATTACCTGTTTCATACAAGTAAACTTATTCTACCTAATTTTATTAAGATGGTTGGAGGGCCATAAATCTAAAGATAGAATAGACAGAATTAATCCAACCTACTCATTTGACAAATAAGGAAGTAGAGGTCCAGCAAGGTTAAATGATTCATTCAGGGTCTCAAAGGTTGCAAGGATCAGAGGTGAGATTTGAACTCTGGTTTCAATTCCTGAGTTAGTGCTCTTTCTACTTACTACCATACTGCCTCCTTGTAAAGTAGTAATTATATTTTACCATAAAGTAGGAACAAAATTTAAGTATAATTGTAATTACTGTAATTATTAACCCTGCACAGGGCTTTTCATTTAGAAAGTAATTCTCCTCTTTCTCTCTCTCTCTCTCTCTCTCTCTCTCTCTCTCTCTCTCACACACACACACACACACACACACACACACACACACACACACACACTTTTTTACACATTCCCCCAAAAGCATTTATTTTTTCCAACAAACCAATTGTTGAGTTCCAACACAAATGAAATCATAGTTCTGGATCCCCACAAAGTATTTTATTTCTAAAAATAAACTTTAAAAATTCAAGCTATATATATCAAAAACAAAACTGCATTCTTACCTGGAGATCTGATGGCCAGCATAAAGCAATAATGCAGTAAGAAAGTATAGGTAAAGCTGAACCAGATGCTGTCTAGGTAAGGTAAGGAGCACAACACTCAAGATATAACCTGTAGGAGAAATAAAAATAAAAGCTCAAGCAAAATGTAATATTAATCCACTCAGTTTAATTTAACATTATTTTAAAGTAACTAAGTCTTCTTAAAGCGTTAAAATCAAAACTCCTTGTTTTCTTAAGTCATTGGTAATGTTTCTATCAAGGGGGAAAAAGTATATGGCCATTCTATCACTGTGTTATTTACATAACTATGTATCATTTCCCAATTGATTAATGGTTGAAGAACAGGAACAGCAATTTTCAAAGGAAGAGATCCATACTATCAACAAGCATACGAAAAAACGTTCCAAACTGCTAAAAATTAAAGAAATGCAAATTAAAGCAACTTTAAGCAATTAAAGCAATCTCACACCCACTAGATCGGCAAAGCTGACCAAAAAAAGGAAAATAACACTTTTTCGAGGGGCTGAAGGAAAACAGGCACATTAATAATGTTCTTGGTGGAATTGTCAACTACTCTAGTCATTCTGTAAAGTAACTTGAAATTATGCCTCCAAAGCTACTAAACTGCACATACCCTTTGACCCAGCAATATCCCTAACCAGGCCTATACCTATCCCAAAGAGATCAAAGAAAGAGAAAAGGCTAAATACGTTATATTTTAAACTTAAAAAAGAAACTGTCACTTGATCTTTCTATCCCTGCTAACTACTATCCTATTTCTATCCTGCTCTTTGTAGCTAAACTCCTCAAAAAGGTCTATAATAGGTGCCTCTACTTTCTCTTCTCTCACTCTCTTCTTAACTTTACAATCTTGCTTCCCACCTTATGATTCTACTCTCTCTCTTTCTCTCAAGTAACTAATGATCTCTTACTTGCCAAATCCAAAAGGCCTTTTCTCAATCCTTATTCTCCTTGACCTCTTGGCAGACTTGACCACTGTCCTACCTCTTTGACCACTCCTCTGTTTCCTTTGCTGGATCCCCCTCCAGATCACAACTTTTCACCATAGGTGTGTCTCTCAGGGCTCTAACCTGGACAGGCTTCTCTTCTTCTATACTACTTCACTTGATGATCTCATCAGCTCCCACGGATTTAATTACCATCTTTATGATGATGATTCCCAGATCTACCTCTCCTGCCCCAATCTGTCTGCTGATTTCCAATCTCATACCTTCAACAGACTTTCAGATAGCTCCAATTGGATATCCAGTAGACATCTTAAACTCCACATATCCAAAACTGAACTCACTAGCTTTTCCCCTTAACTGCCCCGCCTCCTATTACTGCGGAGGAGAACACCATCCTCCTACTGACTGCTGGCCTGTAACTTTTGACTGAATCCAAACTTCACAGAATAAATCCTTTGGATTCAACCAACAGGGCCACACTTAAGGACCTCAACGCCACAGGTTCCCCACTCTAGTCCCCCAGGCTCACAACCTAGGTGTCATCTTTTGACTCCTCACTAGCCTCACCTCCCATGTCCAATCTGCTGCTGACTGGATTCCACCTTTGCAACATCTCTTAACTCATTCTCTCTCCTGACACTGCCACCACTCTGGTGCAGGTCCTCATCCTCTCATGCCTAAATTATTGCAATAGCCTGTTGGTGGGTCTGCCTTCTTCAAGTCTCTCCCTGCTCCAATCTATCCTGTATTCAGTCACTAAAATGATCTTTCTTAAGCATAGGTTTCTTGACATGCCAAATGAGATATCCCAAAGGCATCTCAAACTCAACATATCTAAAACAGAACTCATTATCTTTCTCCCAAAATGCATTGTTCCTTCAAACTTCACCATATCTGTCAAGGCCAAATCAGCCTTCTAGCCACCCAGGTTGTTACCTCAGTTTCATTCCTGACTCTTCGTTCTCATCCACCCCACATATACACTCAGTTGCCAGATCTCACTGTTTAATTTAACCCCACACAGTAGTGTGGGGATAAACCATAGGCTTCTCTTCATTCACATAACCACCATCCTAATTCTGGCTTTCAATGCATCACTACCAGCCTTGAGCACGAGACTCCTAATTTCTCAGATTCTAGTATCTTCACACTCCAATCCACACTACACACAACAGCCAAAGTGATTTTCAAAAAGTACAAATCTGATCATACCACTCTCACACTATAAATTCTATTGGCCTATAACTTCCTGGAGGAAATACAAACTCTTCTGCTTTATATTTAAAGCTTGTCATAATCTGGCCTCAAACTCCCTTCTCAGCGTTATTACACAATGTTCTCCTTCATAACATCTCCAGTCCATCCAAACTGGCCTTCTTATTTCTTTAATCCTCATACATAACACTAACCTTCTGACTTCCAGTCTTTGCAGAGACTGCCCACACCCACGACTGAAATGCATGCCCTCCTCAATCTCTTCTTAAAATCTCTAATTTCCTTTAACACACAGCTGAAGTGCCATCATTGGCATGAAGTGTTTCCTGAGCCCCACACCTGCTAATGCCTTCACCCCAAGATTATTTCACATATATTTCATACATATTGTATGTGTGGTCTCTTCTGTTAGAATTTAAGTTTAATCATTTAACAAGCATTTTTTAAGTGTTTACTAGTAATAATAAAAGCTAATATTTATATAGTACTTACTATGTGATACTGTGCTAAACATTTTATAATTATCATCTCATTTGATAATATTTTATTTAATCCTTACAACCCTGGGAGGTAGGTGTTATTATAATTCCCATTTTACAAATGAAGAAACTGAGGCAAATGGGTTAACTGACTTGCCCAGGGTCACACAGCTAGTAAGCATCTGAGGCCAAATTTGATCTTAAGTCTCCAGATTCCAGATCCAAAGCTCTATCCACTGTACCACCTAGCTGCCAGGCTATGCTTCAGGAACTGTGCTAAGCACAAAGAAAGGCAAAAACATATTCCCCATTATCGGTGCTATGGTCAAAGACATTCATTACCATATTCATTATCCATCAAAGATACAAAGGAAGGCAAAAAAGAGTCCTGGCTCTTTGCTCCCTGCTGGGGGTAGGAGTGGAAAGTGAACAACTAAGCTCCTCCCCCTAAATTGTCTCCGTTAAGGAACTACTCACCTATTTTCATAGTTTCAAATATTTTTCTAAGATAACAGACAAAATCTATACTCATACTAACTCATATGCTCCCTCACCATGGATGTTCCCCAAAGTTCTGTCCTAGGCCCTCTTTTCTTCTCCCTCTACAACTTTCTCTTGGTAACATCATAATCTCTATACCAATGAGTCCCAGACCAATATACTCAGACCCAGTCTCTTCCCCTGAGCTTCAGTCCCATACCACTAATTATGTATTAGACACTTCAAACTGGAGGTCCCAGAGACATCCTAAACTCAACATGTCCAAAACATAATTCATTATCTTTCTCCCTCAATCCTTTCCTTCTCTCCCAACCCTCTCTATTCCTCCCATCCCATGTATCCAACTGCCAAATCTTGCTGTTTTTACTTTCCCAACATGTTTATCATCTGACTACTTTTCTCCACTCACACTGCTACCACCTCAGTTATCTCCCACCTATACTATTTTAAGTGCTTCCTCACTGGTCTCTTTGCTTCAAGTCTCTCACAAAAATGCAAATTTCTTTAAGTAAAGATCTGACCACGTTACTCTCCTACTCGGTCAACACCTACTGTCTCTAGTATAAGATATAAATGCCTCTGTTTAGTTTTTAAAGCCATACACAACCTGGCACCAATCCATCTTTCCAGCATCACTGGACATTATGCCTCTTCCTTCACTCTAAGATCCAGCCAAACCAGCCTCTCTGTTCCTCACATGACACTCCATTTTGAGGCTCCATGTCTCTGCACTGGTTGCTCCACATGCCTATAATGCACTCCCTTCTTACCTCCACCTCGGTCTTTAAAATGCAGCTTAAGCACTATCTTCTTCATGAAGCTTTTTGTGATTTTACCAACTGTAGTGTCTTCCCTCCCAAACTATTCCACATTTAACTACTTTGTATATATTTGGTTCTATTCATTTTATATTTATGCTATATATATTTTTATATGTACTTGTTTTGGGGATTTCACTTTTTGTGCCTGTATAAGTACAAAGTACCTAGTGCATTAATCTTAGGACATCTTTGGATTTCACCTAATGTTATATGTTTTATTCTATTAACAGATGCTGTTGAAAACTAGTTGTTTTATTAATAAAACTTACTTGGGGATTTGGGAGGGTAGAGTATTGAAGAATGCTACACAGGAAGTATAATACAAAGTAGAAGTAATGGGAGCAAAGGAAAGACCCAGACAAAGTGAGCTAGAAATGTATGAAGAGTGAGAGAATGTTTTCACAGTTTAGAGGATCAGGGAAGCCTTCATGGAAAAATGGTACATAGATAGGTTGAGCCTTGAAAGAAGATTATTGTTCAGGCATTTTTCAGTAGTGTCCAACTCTTTATGATGCCATTTGGGTTTTTTGTTTTGTGCTTTTTTTTTCTGGCAATGATACTAGAGTGGTGTGCCACTTCTTTCTTCAGCTCATTTTACCGATGAGAAACTGAAGAGTTCAATGACTTGCTCAGGGTCACACAGCTAGTAAGTATCTGAAGCCAGATTTGAACTCAGTATCCACCCAACTACCCATCCCTGTTCACTGCTGGAATCCTTCAGGCTGCAAACTTCCAAGCATAACAATTCTAGAACAGGGTCATCACTTGACAATTCCTGGCATCTCACTGCTTGCAACTTGAGATATGGGAAAACAGATACATCTGACTTACCATTCCCTAAAAAGAAAAAAGAAAAAAAAACCCACACCACTTTCTCTGAGTCACTAAGCTACTCTAATACGGAGATAACAAAGGACTTACTCATTCCATCCATCACCTTGAAGGCATGCAGAAGAAAGACTGGTGTAAGATGGGTATGCCCAAAGTCAGCCTTAAGCCTTTGGCATACTGTAAGCCCTTAATAAATATTTTTTCATCTATTCTCACAGGATCATCTCTATACTCTCTTCCTCCTCCTGTCAATCACTGCATATGCCTGGCAACTGAGACTTGGTTATAAAATTC